CCCGCGAGTTTAGAGTAAGAGGCTTTTTTGATCAAGAAATTGGCGACTTTGTGATAAGACTATGTTCAAATATCTTGCAAGTTCCAATTATGGTGATAACTTCTTCTGAAACAATTCCCTTTCTACCCTTCAACTGCGATAATCCTTTGAGTAACACCCCAATCTACATTGCTTACCATTATTTTGGGGCAGGCCATTACGATGCTACGGAAAGCATAACCAACGGTGAGTTGAAGTGAATGGTAATTTAAAAGGGATAACTCTGTGAACTCAAGGAACTGCGTTATAGTATGAGAAGGCGTAAAATAAAGAGTTGTAAATACCAGTTTGTTACTGAACTATCAAATGTCTCGAACGGATGGGTGACCAAACTTTTAGCAACCATGTCATGATCATAATAATGACTTATTTTGACGTTGTAAATTACGTTTTGTTTAATCAATTTCTTGTTCTAACTTCCTAAATTCTATTATGTTGGTCCAAGTTCGATTGCATTTTTATGAGAAGCGAATTTGAAAAACAACAATAGCATAATGGTTCTTCATAAAGGAATTTGAAACAGGATGTTGGCGGAGATGACCCCTCATACCATTTTGTCCTTCATTTAGCTTTTTTAGCTTTCAATTGTTCCGGGTAAACAAACAATATGGCGGCGTCAGGCTGCGAGGAGCTTGGATCCGATACGAGTGATTTGAATTGTGGGTAGATCATAACAACAGTTTGATATAACGACAAACGTACTGCATATAACGACAAACGCACTGCATATAAGGACAAACGCTCTGCATATAACGACTAACGCGCTGCATATAACGACAATCGTACTGCATGTAACGAGAAAAGCATAGCAACTAAATAATGAACATTGACTTGTGTACCCTGTGTACCCTGTGTACCCATGTGTACCCTGTGTACCCATGTGTACCCATGTGTACCCTGTGTACCCCTGTGTATACTGTGTACCCATGTGTACCCTGTGTACCCCAGCGTTCCCTGTGTATCCTGTGTACCCATGTGTACCCCGTGTACCCATGTGTGCCCTGTGTACCCATGTGTACCCATGTGTACCCCTGTGTACCCATGTGTACCCTGTGTACCCCGTGTACCCCGTGTACCCTGTTTACCCTGTATACCCATGTGTACCCTGTGTACCCTGTATACCCTGTGTACCCTGTGTACCCTGTATACCCGTGTACCCTGTGTACCCCAGTGTTCCCTGTGTACCCATGTATACCCTGTGTACCCATGTGTACCCTGTGTACCCATGTGTACCCTTTGTATCCTGTGTACCCTGTTTACCCATGTGTACACTGTGTACCCATGTGTACACTGTGTACCCATGTGTACCCTGTGTACCCGTGTACCCTGTGTACCCTGTGTACCCCAGTGTTCCCTGTGTACCCATGTGTACCCTGTGTACCCATGTGTACCCAGTGTACCCATGTGTACCCTCTGTATCCTGTATACCCTGTGTACCCATGTGTACCCTGTGTACCCATGTATACCCTGTGTATCCTGTGTACCCCCATTGAAGAGGCGGCGAACAGCAGTTATTCTGGAGGATGAGGGATAATTTGCAGCCAGGACCATAAACACTCGAAGAGAGCTGTCTCTTAGACTCCATTAAGTCATTAATTTTGAACACGTGTGTTATCCCAAGTAACAGAAATATATCAATATTGTATAATTTTGTGAGCAACAGTCTGTGTGGAAATAATATACAGTTTACTACAGTCACCTCTAAAACAGAGAGGCAAATTCAAGGAAAACTGGAATTTGCAAGAAAAAACATTTAGCTCTAAAGAATCTTTACTATGGTATTTCAGTTCTTGATAACCAAGGGAATTCGGACTGATTGTTCTATTACCATATCAAATGGTACTATCTACAAGACAAATATAGTACACATTGAGCAGTCTTGACTTCCGCCATTATATTTAGAAAAAACTATTGCTTTTGAAACAATTTTCAGTGTATTAAGAATCCAAATGATAATTTTAAAGGCTTTTTGTGTGAAATTCAAGATATTCTTTTAAGGCAACAAAATTGTGCGAGGATATGATGGGCAATGGGCAACACACCCCTTAATTGTCTGTGTAGTACTCAGTTGCCTAGTAAAACAAAATCGCCTTTCAGATCACTCAGTCTTTCAGTCAGGTCGGAGCTAGCAGACAGTTTTATCTGCTAACCAATAAACTTCGTTGATCATACATTGTGGCCTGTGTTTCCATCTGATTGAATATAAAGTGGACACTGTTTTGCAATACGCACAAACTATTAGCTAGCTGCCATAAATCACTCATAAAAGTTAGCGTTATATTAATCTGGTCTTTAATCAAGGGTAAACATAATTTTGAATTGCATTAATTCCACTAACNTGTAAGGAAAGATCGCAGATTGCCATATGTTGCTTAGAATGATTAGCTAAATTAAAATGTCTAGCGACTGGTTTCGATGTGTCCTTGTCATTCCTTTCCACGTCTCGAACGTGGTATTGTATTGTAATCTTTATTTAGACACGATCAATTCATCAGCCTATAAAAATACATATCACATACGCTAAGATATTTGAAATTAAAACTACATACTATAACACTAAAGCTGTTTTCCGTGAGAGCCGTGCCTTAGACTTAAAGAATGTCATTGATCTGACGTTTAAATAACCCCAGAAACTCTGTGTTCCTTATATCGAGTGGTAAACTGTTCCATAATGTGGCGCCATTGTAGCTAAAGCTTTTTCTGTAATAATTAGTGCGCGGTAGTGGAGCATTAAGCTTATTTTCAGAGTCCCTGAGGTCATAAGCAGAGTCACGCCACGTAAACTTTGAATGTAGATACCTTGGAGCTAGCCCGTGCAGACATCTAAACATCATGGTGGCTTTATGGATTTCCTGCTGGCGTGCAAGATTTTTCACAGAGTACACAGAGTACACAGGGTACACAGGGTATACAGGGTATATAGGTACACATGGGTACACAGGGAGTCTATTTGGAGACTGGGTGACAGGGAGTCTATATGGAGACTGCCATGAATTACTTGTTCAATTTACGGAGCATGTAGGTTTACATTCTTTACTAAAAGAGTTAGTACACATGCACCCCTAACTAAACCACTGCGATTTTATACTTGTCTGAACAGAGACATGTATTAAGTACAAACAATTAGTAACTGCGTAACAGATATTGATCGTAATTATTTATCTTGATTTGTGGAAGTCAAAGTCAATTCAACAATTAAATTGCCCATTTGAAAAATTTATCGCAAGGAGGTATTGCCGCATTTGTCTGGTGAATCTTTGGTAGTGAGCCACCAAGTGCACAAAAACAACATTAGCAGACATAACTGGAAAAAAAAAAATCAGCAATCTTACCACAATGCCTGATCTCACATCGCCAGATCGAGATTACCAGAAGGCGGAAATTTCTGGAGGAGGGTTCTTCGTTGATTACAGACAGCAATTACCTCAACACCACCGTAAATGTAGATTAACTATGAATGCCAAGGTCTTGAAGCGATGAATGAAAGTTCCCAAGTTTTTTCACAGCAATTCAGCGACTGACTGGCAAACTACGAATCGAAGAAAATGGGCGGAAGTCGAAACTGAAAGCATTTGCTCAGCACAAGTGTTATGGTTCGTTTGGAGCCTGGGAATAGTGAAAGGAGAGTAATAGGACTGAAATGCATAGTGTGGGATTGTGAGATGGGAATAAAAACAGAAAGCGGCTCAAGTTTGTTGCTGTTGTTTCTTTTTAATGCAATGTTCTCATTTTGACTCGGCTTTTCGGCTCACTTTGTGAATTTTTTCTGGGTATTTCATAGTGTATTTAGCCCTTGCTAACATATTACTGATAGAAATAATTAAAAACAGCCACATGATTATGGTCTAACTGAGGTCCCCGATAGAGAAACTTTCGAAAAAAAGAAACTTCATTGACATAAGTCATTTAAAACTTCCTTTTCTTTTATTACATACCACTCACTCCAATGTCACTTATTAAATAGATTGTATTTTTGACTTCTTTACGCATTCTTGAGGGACTGGGGAGTGACATTCTTTAACATTTAACTGTAACTGTCATGACAGCTGGAAGCTGATCAGAACTTAATTTGAGACTTTGAAAGTTGACTTTGTAGTGTCATTAACCATCAACAACACTAGGAAATTAAGCGCTGGATTGTACTGTGCGGGATGAGGATTCGAGCCCCGGTCCGACCAATACTCATTGTCTTAAAATAAGTGAGGAGAATTTGCTACCTTTCTATAATCAAGAAATGGATAGATATTCTTGTCTTCTCGGATAAGGACGAACAAACCGTAGGCCCTGAATTACCCAATAGGGCTTGCAGCTTATCTGCAACATGACCTTCTGATAGTAGTGCCTGAAAATTTATGTGTTGAAAGAGCAAGAGTTTTTCAGGTCCAGTAAGATCTCTGTACTCCAACCTCTTGGTATCCTTATTAATTTTCCATTCAAAATTAATTCCTAGCTCTTTTACAAATTTTTCATACCCAGCCATGCGTTTATACTTATTTCGACTAAAACCATTTGAAAAAGTATATACCTTGTCAATCACATCTTTTCTGCGAAGTTCCCTGATAAGAAGTTCAATTAAATTATCAGATATTCTCAAAAACAAATGTAGTGTATCAATTATTACATGGTAAATAGGAATAAAATTAAATAATGGATTGGTTTTACAATTATGTTGTTTAGATTTTGCATGCTTACCTATTTCTTGTGAATCTCTTGCCCCAAGAGATTTGTCAGTTAAAGACCACTTTTTACTGATGTCAAAACTTTCATGTCTTGGGCACTTACACCAAATACAGGCAAAAAAATGATTTGCAGCTCCTAGACCACAGACACAGGCTAGAAACTTCCAGTCTCCTCCTAAAAAATACTCAATGCTATACTTACGATTATTTACAGTTAAATTGGACATTTCATTGTTTAGATCAGCAAGGCTTTCTTTAAGATTGTCAAAGTTCTCTGTTGTAGAACATAGTTCCCTTTTTCATTCATTGCTGCACCCTTTTCATTCAAAATTGTGTATGTTACATTTTCAAGTTTAAGCCTCTTCCCAATGTTGGTAGCATCACCACTGATCTTTACTTTAATAGTAGTAGCCTCGTCCAATACGCCATTTTTCTGCAACCTTTGTATCTGTTCTTCAAGACTGTCCCTGAAAGAAATCTGTATTCCCTCTGCCTCCCCTGGTATTTTTTTTAGATTCCAATTGGAATTTAGCTTATCTAGATGATTACATACCTTATATTTTGTGGGCATGTCTTTACATTTTATGGCCAACTCATGCCAAGCTTCATTAGAGATATTAAATTTGTCTTTTAAGTAGACCCACATATTAATATCATCAATATCATGGTCAGTCAGTTCTTTTGGCTCAGTTTCTAGTAGTTGAAATTCTCCCTCCTCTACCAATGAATTAGTTTCATATTGCTGGGTGTCATTATTAAATATCTCCACCTTGGTGACAACAAGGTCATACAGGCCTAAAAATGATAGTGCTGACTGGCAGTCTTCTTTGAATGTTCGCCTTATCCTTGCCTGGTGTTGTTTGGTGTAATCGGCGAACTTTTTATTCTTGTTTGGACCTCTTTGTTCCTTTTTTTTTTGCATTCTTGCTGCTTTCTTCGCTCATCTCTTGAATTTTTCTTTGTACTGTTCTTTTCTGTTTTCCGAGTCCCTAATGACATTTTCAAGTTTCTGCTCAATTTTTAATCTTTTTGCCTGCTCTACGGCTAAATCCAGTTCAGCTTTCCTTTTCTGCCCACGGAGCCGTTGGTTTTCCTCAGTCACTGAGTTGTTTCCAAGCTCATGAAAGAAAATTTCGAAGGAGTAGTTTTTCGCCTTCCATGAGTCAATCAGCTTCTTTACGCTCTTCCCCCACTTTTTGGAAGCTTTCTTGAACGCTGAGTGGAGGAGAGAAATCTCTCTCCCGAAGACGTTGAGAATTCTGGAATTATCACAACCCCGCTGATCTCAGATTCCCTCAAGATTTTTTCCACGATTCCTGCAATCAGAGAATCGGCACTTTCGTCGTTCGGCTCTTGGTCAGGCTTCTTCGACAGGGAATATATGAGATAGCTGTTAAAAAAAAATCAATTCGATAAAAAAACAAATTTAAAAAAAGAAGAAAAGAAACGGGTTTAAGAACACTTCGATTAACGCAATTTTACTTACTTGTTTATTTCGTAATTAAACCAAGGCAATTTTTCCCCTTTCGGACCACTTGATTCTTCACCAAAATCGTTTTGTGCATCTACGGCCACCGCGAGAAGAGCCAGCGAGGACAAAATCACCAGTGCGTAAACTTCGAGTCCCATTTCCCGAACCCAAACAATATCCAAACCTCATGTATTATACATCAAAGTGCGCCAAATTTATTCTTCTTTTCATATTTCGCGGTAATGACCAGTTCTGTGCATGCGCTTTAGAGTTCTAGCCCCAGACTCTATGGCCAGTGCTCGCATCTGGCATAAACCCCTCTTCGAAATGTCTGAATTGCTAACCAAAAGTTTAAAAAACCCGAACGAAATGTTGTCATGATTACCTTCAAATATAGTGTTATAGAAAGCTTATGTACGATAGTTTTATAAACTGAAGGTAAGAAAGATAGCGATTCAAATGCAATACGCGAAAACGAAGAAAATGTTCGAAAATTAGTGTGTTTTTGACTGACTCCGGAATGCGTGACATGTCACGAAAGTCTGTAGAGGCAGATGTTAAAGGTAAGTTTGATATGAATTTTTTAATTAATTTTTTTAATTAATTTTTTTTAATGTTTTTAATGTTTTAATTATTTTAATTAATTTTTTAAATATAGACTAGTGAGCAGCACGTCTGCGAACAGTAGTAGCAATTGTAAAACTGCTTTTATTTTCTGACGCGTTTCGTCTGTCGTAGACTTCTTCAAGGAGTTTTTTCAGACAAACAATGCTTTAACACAACACCTGCCATCTTCGCTGTTAACTACTCAGATGAACATGCATGCCTCATTTAACTGATATTGAAACTAACTTGCAAGTTACAAGTCGCGATCGCAAGTTGTAAGACGCGATCGCAAGTTATAAGTTGCGATCGCAAGTTGTAAGTTGCGATCAAGAGCGATAATTGTATGGCTCTTGGTTGCGATCGCAAGTTTCGCCATCGCAAGTTAGTAACTTGCGACGAGAAAATCCGTGTGTGCCTTATGAGCCACCGTAGACTTCTGCCATACAACTTTTAAATAAAGCACGCATGATCATGATATACCATAAATGCTCGAATTAGCGCCCAGCTTCAAATAAGCGTCCCGCTTCGAATAGACCCTTTCAAGGTTAACGCCGCCATTTTGCCGGGGGTGCAAAACTGCTGGGGCGAGCCCAAAATGTACAGTAAATGTCTGGAAAAAGTCGGGAGATTGATGCTCGATAATTTGAGGAAGGTTGACGTTCTGCAATTTTTATGAATTACGAAGTAAAGATACCTAGCAAAAGATGTTGCCGATTAAATGTGAAGGGTTCAGGCTCGCTGAGAAGTGAGAAATCTTATTTTTAGTTTTTCATACAAATGCTTTCAAATTTTCGCGGAAAAGGTGGTTTGGTTTTAGAGACAAATATATGGAAAATCAAAATCTTAATTTGCGGCTTTTTTCGCGAGACTTCATTTCTCAAATTTGATCGGTAAACTGGTAGGTCTGGTATCTTTAGTTTGTAATTCATAGAAATTGCACGATTTCAACCTTCCTCAAATTATCGAGCATCATTTTCTCAGCTTTTCCCATACATACACCGAATGCAAATATGGCGTCCAATTTGAATTGCCATTGTTCTGGACTGACTAGCCTCGTCTTCACGTGGAAATACAAAAGGATTATTACATGTGTGAGAGGCTAGTCAGTCCAGAACAATGGCAACTCAAACTGGACGCCATATTTGCATTCGGTGTATTCACTGTACATTTTGCGTTTGCCCCAGCAGTTTTGCACCCTCGACAAAATGGCGGCGTTAACCTTAAAAGGGTCTATTACGCACTGGGTAATTCTGGCCCCGTCCACACTAATGTGTAGTGAAATGAGACACAGAAAGCTCACTTTTTCTTTCTGAATTAAATAGACAGTGTAAATCTAGCTGCGAAAAGTTTGCTTATCCATATCTACGTTTAATTTTGCAGCTCGGTAGCCTGCATGTTAACTCCCCAAGTAAAATTCACGACGGTCACCCAAGTTGTAGCTCCTCCAGGTCATAGTTCTTTCTGTTAACTAAGTCCAGGTTGTAAAGATCACCTTAGCTTTTTCTTTCTTTTTAAATATCCCGTACTCAAAATTTTTTCGCGGTATCTTAGTTTTCGAGGAAGACTTGTATGAAGGTAGATCCTGGACAAAATGTTCGATTCGTCGTTTCGTTATACGCA